TGACTCAACCAACAGTTCATTTGCCATCATGTGGCATCCAGTTGAGCAGCTTAGTCCAACTGATTTTGACCAGCCAACAACGTGTCCTTCTTGATCCTTTTGTTACTGTTCCGATGTTGAATCTTGCTCGTTTTGGAGGACCTTCAGGCTAAACATGCTGAGCTCAAGAAAGCCCTGCAGGTTGGCTAGAGAGGTTGAGCAATACAATGCCATGGAATTTGACATATGTTAGTTTGCTCAATCTCAGATGGGTCGAGTTGAAGTGCATTTCAACAAAGAGAAGGCGTTTTTGTGCCTGAGTTGTTTGCGTTCAACATGTCGGTCTATGATGAGTTTGTCTTGCATGCGAGCGATAGATAGATGTTTAAAGTTTCATGGGGTCAATGGGGTCCTAGTGTGGCATGTGACGGTAAAGTCATAGACCATCATAGCAGATCCCAAGTTTGTCAGGAGAAGGATGGGCAGCATCAGTTGGCTTTGGAGGATAGAAGACAAAAAGTATCAGAATATGTTCTGATATCACGAAAGGTAGCCCTTTAGGGGATACCTTGAGTTTGTCTTGCGAAGCAAGTGTTGGCGCGTCCGGGTCTAATAAGTGATCATTCAATTTAACCCCCCCCCGCTCGAATTGATTTCTCAATACAGACCCCCCCCCGCCCCCTTGGAATTGATTTTTCAATACAGACCCCCCCCCTCTAAATTCAATTCTCTCCTGGAGAACGTCTTCGTGAGCCTCTCATGAGTTGAAACCCTCTTGAACATTCAGAAAGAGTGCATATAAATTTCAAATCACGAAAGGTGTTCCCCGAGGGGATACATACCTAGAGTTTGTTTTGTGAAGCACGTAAATTCTCTCCTGGGGAACGTCTTCGTGAGCCTCTTATGGTTTCAGGATAGTTCAAATCCTATGATGCTCCGATTCAATGCTCACCGATGATCTGAGCCATGGGGCAAGTTACCATGTCGAACATTGCATTTTTGTTCCTGCCTCTCGCGTTCTCTTCTCTTCCCGCTGTTCTACCTTTCGTGTCTCCCTCCTCTCAAGTTGAAACAGATGCCCTGCAGCACGGAGTGGAAATTGATTGCGCAGGAGTTGCCAACTTGCCAACGCAGTTTAGATCCTGCCACTTTGTTGGACCATATCATGTACGAGTCGCAGGAGCTAAAGAAACAACATAGTGCTGAGCTACAGCAAGCACAGCGGGAACAAGCTCCGCTGCAGGCAGATTGCATGGTACTGCATGAAAGCAAACGGAAAGACTTTCTTCCTCCGAGCAAGCAAAGAGCTAGTTTGTGTTTGCTAAGATGTTGGAACATTGACAAATCTGACCAGAAGCTGTTGAACTTTGGTTACAGCCTTTATTAATAGCTTGTGTGTGTTTGAACCCATTGTATTGTTCTACTAGTAATTAATCCCCTTAGGGAACTATTGTGATTCAATCAACAGTTCATTTGCCATGTGCATGGCATCCAGTTGAGCAGCTTAGTCCAGCCGGCAAGGAAGGCGAGTCACATGACGGGAAGGCCCAAGAGGACCTGTTCTCACTGATTTTCACCTGCCAACAAGGTGTCATTGTTGTTTTGTTTGTGTGTTCTCCAAGACTCCAAGATTGAGTACTGTTCAGATGTTGAATCTTGTTTGTTTTGGAGGACCTTCAGGCTCAACATGCTAAGCTCAAGAAAGCCCTGCAGGTTGGCTAGCGAAGTTGAGCAATACCATGCCATGGAATTTGACGCATGTTCGTTTGTTCAATCTCAGATGAGTCGAGTTGAAGTGCATGTCAAGAAAGATAATACATTTTCGTGCCTGAGTTGTCTGCGTTCAACATGTCGGTCTATGATGAGTTTGTCTTGCACTGCGAGCGATAGATAGATGTTTAAAGTTTCATGGGGTCAACGGGGTCTTAGTGTGGCATGTGACTTTCAAGTCATATACCATCATAGCAGATCCCAAGTTTGTCAGGAGAAGGATGGGCAGCATCAGTTAGCTCTGGAGGAGAGAAGTCAACAAATGGCGACCTTCCTGTTGCTGTTTTTTCCGCTATTGATATTGATATTGAAACAGGGATGCCCTGCAGCACGGAGTGGACTTTCATTATGCAAGAGTTGCTAACTTGCCAACGCAGTTTAGATCCTGCCACTTTGTTGGACCCTATCATACAAGAGTTGCAGGAGCTAAACAAACAACATAGTGCTGAGCTACAGCAAGCCCAGCGGGAACAAGCTCCACTCCAGGCAGTTTGTATGGTACTGCGTGAAAGCAAACGGAAAGACTTTGTTCCTCTTAGCAAGTAAACAGCTAGTTTGTGTTGCTTAAAAGTTGGAAAATTGGCACATCTCACGAGATACAGTTGAACTTTGGTTACAGCCTTTTATTTATAGCTAGTGTGTGTTTGAACCCATTGTTTTAATTTGTCTAGCAGACGTGCAACAAGTAACGAATCCCCTAAGAGAACTATTGTGACTCAACCAACAGTTCATTTGCCATCATGTGGCATCCTGTTGAGCAGCTTAGTCCAACTGATGTTGACCAGCCAACAACGTGTCCTTCTTGATCTTTTTGTTACTGTTCAGATGTTTAATCTTGCTCGTTTTGGAGGACCTTCAGGCTCAACATGCTGAGCTCAAGAAAGCCCTGCAGGTTGGCTAAAGAGGTTGAGCAATACAATGCCATGGAATTTGACATATGTTAGTTTGCTCAATCTCACATGGGTCAAGCTGAAGTGCATTTCAACAAAAAGATTGTGTTTTGGTGCCTGAGTTGTCTGCGTTCAACATGTCGGTCTATGATGAGTTTGTCTTGCATGGGAGCGATAGATAGATGTTTAAAGTTTCATGGGGTCAATGAGGTCTTAGAGTGGCATGTGACGTGGAAGTCATAGACCATCATAGGAGATCCCAAGTTTGTCAGGAAAAGGATGGGCAGCATCAGTTGGCTTTGGAGGAGAGAAGACAAAAAGGATCAACATATTTTCTGATATTGAACCAGAGATGTCCTGCATGACGGAGTGGAGATTGATTGCGCAAGAGTTCCCAACTTGCCAACACAATTTAGATCCTGCCACTTTGTTGGACCATATCATGTAAGAGTCGCAGGAGCTAAAGAAACAACATAGTGCTGAGCTACAGCAAGCACAGCGGGAACAAGCTCCGCTCCAGGCAGTTTGCGTGGTACTGCGTGAAAGCAAACGGAAAGACGTTCTTCCTCCGAGCAAGCAAAGAGCTAGTTTGTGTTTGCTAAGATGTTGGAACATTGACAAATCTGACCAGAAGCTGTTGAACTTTGGTTACAGCCTTTTATTGATAGCTAGTGTGTGTTTGAACCCATTGTATTGTTCTACTAGTAATTATTCCCCTTTAGGGAACTATTGTGATTCAATCAACAGTTCATTTGCCATCATGTGGCATCCAGTTGAGCAGCTTAGTCCAACCGGCAAGGAACGCGAGTCGCATGACAGGAAGGCCCTAGAGGACCTGTTCTCACAGATATTGACCTGCCAACAAGACGTTTTTGTGTTTTTCTTTTAATTTTGATCTCCAAGAATGAGTACTGTTCTGATGTTGAGTCTTGCTCGTTTTTGAGGACCTTCAGGCTCAACATGCTGAGCTCAAGAAAGCCCTGCAGGTTGGCTAGAGAAGTTGAGCATTGCAGTGCCATGGAATTTGACATATGGTTTGCTTTGAACGTGCATTTCAACAAAGAGGTGTTTTGGTGCCTGAGCTGTTAGCCTGCAACATGTCGGGTTTGGATGCCTTTCTCGGGCATGGCGAGCGATAGATACAAGTTTAAACTTTGATGGGTTCAATTGGAAAATCATAGCAGACCCCGAGTTTGTCAGGAGAAGGATGTGCAGCATCAGTTGGCTTTGGAGGAGAGAAGACAAAAAGGATCAGAATATGCTTTGGTGAGCACTTCCTGTTGCAGCCTTTACACAGCTGTTGATACTGAAAAGGGGAAGCCTGCAGCATGGAGTGGAAATTCATTGTGGAAGAATTACGAACACAGTTTAGGTCCTGCCACTTTGTTGGACCATATCATGCAAGAGTCGCAGGAGCAAAAGAGACAACATGGCGCTGAGCTGCAGCAAGCACAGCTGGAACAAGCTCCGGTGCAGGCAGGTTTCTGTGGTATTGCCTTAGAGCAAGTTGAAACATGTTCCTTTAAGCAAACAGCCAATTTGTACACAATGATCATTCTGACAAGATGTTGTGCAAGATGATGCCTGCACACAGGTTGGTTTGTTGGAAGTCTTTTGCATAGCTAGTGTGTTGTTGTTTTTTTTCTGTTAAACTTTGTCGCATCATACTTGAACGGTTACAAGTACCTACATGCTTCAGGTCTGTACGTGCTAAATATGGCGGTTTAATCAACACTTCATGACATCTAGTTTATCAACACTCAGCGCAGGGTTGGCACCGGCAAGGAACGTAGTCCGTCGCATGACAAGAAGGCCCTAGAGGACCCATCAATGATTGTGTGCCAACAAGATGTCCTTGTTGTTTTGTTGTTTTGTTCTCCAAGAAGAAGGAGTGTTCCTGTTCAGATGTTGAGTCTGGTTTGTTTTGGAGGACCTTCAGGCTCAACATGCTGAGCTCAAGCAAGTCCTGCAGGTTGGCAAGAGAAATTCAGCAACAAGACGCAATGGAATTTGACTAATTTTTGTTTAATATCAGTTTGTTTGCTTTGAATGTCAATTTCAATATAGATAAGTGTCTTGGTGCCTGAACTGTTTGTGTGCAACTGCCGGGGTTATGATGCCTTTCTCCCGCATGGTGATTGATATTCAGTTAGATGTATTTCTTTCATGGTTTCAATGGGGTCTTAGTGCGGCATGTTTTTTCCCAAGTCACAGGCCATTAGAGCAGATCCCAAGTTTGCCAGGAGAAGGATGAACAGCATCAGCTGGCGTTGGAGGAGAGAAGACAAAACAAACAAGATATGTACTGTTCTGGCTGCATTTCATTTTGCTGTTTTTTTGTAGTCACTGATATTGAGTCAAGATTTCTTTCAGGATGGAGTGGATTGGATATTCCTTTTGCACGAGCTACAAACACTTCTTAGTTCGTACCATTTTGTTGACTTTTTGTTGGACCAGATCATGCACGTGTTGGAGGAACTTCAGAGGCAACATGGTGCTGAAATGCAGCAAACCCGGGAACAAGCTCCTTTGCAGGCAGCTTCTGCAAAGGAAGTAAAGGATTGGAGACTTGAGACTTGCCTTTTTCATAGCATGGCAAGAGGTCGTTCCTGGTTGAGTCGAAGACATGTACAGACCATATTGGTGAAAGGCCGGGTCCGAAGCGAAATCGCAAGGCTGCGCCGCTGCAAGGGCGGGTCTAGGGTCAGGTCGTGGCGGGTACCGTAACGTGGAACATTGACAGTGCCCCCCGGGTGTTCCGCAAACGTGCCGCAACGTGCCGAACCGGGCAGCATGGTTTTGACGTCACTCTCCGAGTATGTTGAGAGGTTTAGATTCTGTTAGGGCACCAGGATTTGGGATTCTCCAAGATTCGTGTATATAAATGGTTTCTACTTGAGCGTACTAGAGTTTCAAGTCGCGTCATTGCATGTCATTGCATTTCATGAAGCGACTTAGATGACGCTTAGATCGTCATCTACTTGTGTTTCAAAACCTGTGAGTGGCTCAACAATTTCTCAGACAACATGGTTTATATGTTGGGACCATCGATGATTTAATCTGTCTTTTGAGCACCTTGGGGCAGGAACACAAGACTGATGCGGTGCTCGTGGTGCCGGCAAGCCATGGCAAGGCTCTAGGGCTGCCCACTGACCCACTTGCTACACTTTTGACTCTTGCACCCAACTCCCTTCGTCAGTGGAGCCTTGTTGGACGACCTGAGTCGTTTTGTTTAAGCGCATGTTCTCCGGTGTGTAAACTCGGCAACCGCAGCTCCAGAGGGACATTTCCAAGGGCTCAGAGGGGTTGCCGTTTGGAAACGGTGATTGGGGTCAGTTCCATGATGTTCCAAGAAACTGCTGCATGAGTGGCCCAATAACCAATCACATGATCTACAATCTGCACCTTGCACAAATGCTGGGGCTCCAGTCCTTCCTACCACCCCTCACCTCGCTTCAGTGCTTGGGCGGGGACTGTGGGACCGGGACATTTCCGGGTTGCCGCCTCGCGCAGATGCCGCTGAAGCGCAGATGGAAGCGGATCGTTCTGGATGTCGAAGGATGTCGCTTACAGCCACTATATAGAAATCGTAGAAAGGACTTGATAGGATACGTCCTCCACACAGCTTTGGAGGAGGTATTATCCTATGGTGGCTCTTCTATTGGTTAACACCTTTTTGGAACCAACAGGGCCTCCCAGCGACCTCGATGATTACTGCCTGGATCTCCTGAAAATGGGACGAGTCCGGGGCGATGCCCACAGAGCTGTTCGTGCAAGACCTGAGACGGTCGACATAGATTGACATCAGTTTGGACCAATTTTTGAGGGGGATGTCACGGGATGTCATTTTTTCTGGCAGGTTCCAGAGGTTCCTTTACAAGACACTGAAGTGGTCTAGGTTGGGGGGCAGCCGCAGGGCCTAGTTTTAGGCGGCATGGTCAATCATCATGGCGAAAAGGCACTCGCTGATGGGGTGGAGTGGGGGGGAGCCGACCATGGGCACACTTCCAAGTATGTGGTTGTGGCTGCTAGCTAGGCCCAGCTACGCCCAGCTACGCCCAGCCGGAACAAGCAGCATGCTGGCTAGCACTTTGTTCCAGCCTCCCCAGGCGGTTGTTCCAGACACTTTGCCCTTGGCACAGGATGACAACCTTGAAGATGCAGGGGTTTTCGAGGAAGACTTTCAGGCAGCTTCTCGAGTTGTTCTGCCAAGCAAGCCAAAAGTATCCTAAGATATCCTAAGTTACGCTCCGTTTGGTCACTTCAGTCACTTCTGTTTGCATAGTTGGTTGCTTGATCTCTGAGATAGAAACCTGACAGTGTTTCAACCAAACTGCCCTTATCCACAGTTTTTGTGAATACTTGCAAGGCCAACAGTGGATTCTGCTCCGAAAAGCCAGAGGACATATTTGAGTTGGATTTGTTTGCACCCGTTTGCACTTATCCACACACATATCCATACATTCAACGGAAAGTCAATTCTCTCCATGGTCGCTTGTTCAAATGAAAGACACATGTTGACTTACACTCTCCCTCGCACGCAAATTTGAACATCCACGCACGAGAAGGTCTTCAAGGACTAGGTTCGCAAAAAGGCAGTTTGCACCAACAGCACCAACCCCCAGATAACCAGCACCTGCGACTTTTTTGCTCAATCCGCATGCCGACTTTCGGATTTGCTGTTTCGATCCAGTCGATACGCTTACCTTCACGCGGTGGACTCGCCAAGTGACCCAGTGAATTCCGCAGACCTGCCTACGAGGAGGTGCCGCAGCCATCTTCGACTGTCTTGCAGGTCTTCGACACGGCACAGGAGCAAAAAGGGTGACCGTACATGCGCCTGGTGACCACATAAACCATGGGTGACAACAGTTGTTGCTTTTGTATTGGTCTAACTTGGAACATGGTGATCTCGCAGGTGTTTGAGTGTTCAAACAAATCAAGTCGTCACATGTGCCCGTCAAATATTCTGCAGGATGATAACCTTGAAGATGCAGGGGTTTTCGAGGAAAACCTTCAGGCAGCTTCTCGAGTTGTTCTGCCAAGCCAGCCAAAAGTATCCTAAAGTTACGCTTCGTTTGGTCAAATCAGTCACTTTTGTTTGCATAGTCGGTTGCTTGATCTCTGAGATAGAAACCTGACAGTGTTTCAACAAAACTGCCCTTATCCACAGCTTTTGTGAATACTTGCAAGGCCAACACTGGATTCTGTTCCGAGAAGCCAGAGGACATATTTAAGTGGCATTTATTTTGCACAAGTTTGCACTTATCCACACACTCTCCGTGGTCGCTTGTTCAAATGAAAGACACATGGGCATCTATCTAAAGGTCCATGAAAGGAGTTTCATATGGAACAGCCATTTCGGTTACTAAGTACCAACCGGGCGAAAGATCGCGAAAGTTAAACACAGGGTTCGCGAAAGTAATCTTTTTTTTCGCGAAAGTTCATGTAACCACGTATGTTA